ACATGTAAAAACATATGAATATAAATAATAAATATATACATACACATATAGACATACAAGATAATGAATATATATGTATATACAGTATGTAGTTATTCTTCAGTATCCTTGGAGGATTGACTCCAAGATCCCATCCCCCAGCGGATACCAAAATCCATGGATGCTCAAGTCCGTTATAAAAAATAATGCAGTATTTGCATATAACCTGTGCACATCTTCCTACATACTTTAAATCATCTCTAGATTACTTACAATCACTTATACAATGTAAATGCTATATAAATCGTTATGGTTTTTTTATTTGTATCATTTTTATTGTTGTATATTTTTTTCTTGAATGTTTTCAATCTATGGTTGACTCCCTTAATGCAGAAACCACAAATAAAGAGGGCCAACTGTACACATACACATCATACCAGGAATTACTGTGAAAGGCCATACATACTGAAAAGCATGGCGAATGTCACACTTGGGACACGATTCACGGCTGTCAGAGCCAGCAGGTAGTTATCATGGTAGCTTCTATAGTCTTTGATAGGGGTGGGGAAACTATCCCAAAGGTCTCCTAATTTATTCCCCTGTCACCTTCCACGCAGCAATACAGCAGTAAGGGCTTCCTGCTACTTTTGCACCAGACAGCAAATGTGTTTGGAGCAGTCTAATTATTACACTAATAAATATTCAAAAATGTAGAACATGAGAGTAGCAACAAAAGAAATGCATGACTTTAAGTTGAAAAAAAAAAGGAAGAAAGATCATACTAGAGCAGAATTCTTTGGGTGAATATCCTGTAATCTACTGTCGACCAAAACAAATTTTTATGGAGCAATAAGACTACTCAAGTAGCCACTTTATGACAATAAACACCCAAAACAGAAAAATCCTTTTGTAACATAATTACTGACAATATAGACAGAAAGTAACCATTTAATCCACAGCATGTCTTCTGTACCACAAGAACTCAATAGCTGACATCAGATGGGGTGTGGCCAACCTAGCTCTAAAAATGAATTCTGGAGGGTGGAAGTCAGGCAGCTCTCTGGGCTGGGCTTCGGATCCTAAGCAGGTCTAACAGAGCCTAAGACTGTTGACCTTCTGGGCATAGGGCAAGGCCCATCTGTTTACTTGCTTGCTTTTGGGAGGAGTGGTTGTGGTAGATGAGTTAAGGCTGTGGTTATAGGGCGTTGCCAGTTATTTAATTTTAATATTTTTACCCTTACATTTTGTACACAGTTAAAAGTTGAAAGCTGTGCATAAATTGCAGGCTGAAAAACAAGTAAGTGTGAGTTTGAAAGGAAAAATAAACACTGGGCAAAAATATAAGCCATTTCCAGTCTATGATAATACAGTATTTTCAAATAGAAAATGACAGAGAAGCAACTACAACCTATTTCAGACTTATTTAAAAAATTAAAGTTGTAGCCAGCACAGTCGCTGATGCCTATAATCCCAGCACTTTGGCAGGGGTTTACTTGAGGCCAGGAATTCAAGATCCAGCCTGGACAACACAGTAAGACCTCATGTCTACAAGAAAATTTTTAGCTGGGTGTGGCAGCGTGCATCTGCAGCCCTGCCTACTTGGGAGGCTAAGATGGGAGGATCCCTTGAGCCCGGGAATTTGATCTATGATGATGCTACTTCAGTTCCGCCTGGGTGACAGAGTGAGACCTTGACTCAAAAAAAAAAAAAAAAAAAGCTGTTTTCTAAGCAGAAAAGGTAATAATGGTGTTGAGATTTTGAATGAAACTGTCTTGGGATTTTAGCTCATGTTCATTAATCAACATGCAACTGGCAAGGAGAAAAACTTATAAACACAAACTTTTCAAATGAGTTTGTGCCATTACTAGTTTTCTAGTTCAATACGCAATCTACAGCTAGATTTATGAACTTGACTGTTTCTCTCACAATATAAAAAAAAACAAACCATTTGATGCTCCAATTTAATGGGATCACTGTAATATTATTAATTTGCAAAAACATAAAGTTCCATGCTTTCCATGTTGTATAATGGAAAAAAATGTCCAGGACCTTTACATGTTCATCTACTTAACAATATCCCTTCACCGGGTAAGGTTACTCCAAACTCTAGATTAACCAACACTGGCTTGAATTCAAAATGCTCTCAGCATAGGCCTAGAGGCCTAAGCACTTATGTTGTCTCTGCCAAGATAAAACACACCTATATTTAAGGCCAAATTATTTCACTAAGTTGATAATAGCCTGCTTCATGATATACTGTAATATCTCAAACTCACTGGAGCCTGTTTAAAGTGCCTAATTTCCCTGCACAGGAGGCAGGGAAAATAACCCTGAGCAACATGTATATTTTCACATGACCAGAACACGATGGATATTACAGGCCAGACGCATGCTCTTCAGAATGAACGTCAAGCATCCTGATTTGTTCTCCCCTTGGCCTGGGGACAGTGAGTGCACTAGTGTTTGCAGACCTTCCCTTTCAGCACACACAGAGGCTGCAGCTGTAGTAAACAACCACCGGCCAAGAGTTGCTAAGGTCAAGGTCTCAAATGCTAGACCAGGACCATTTCCTCCCAAATGATAGTCATTTCTGAAAAAAGAACTTTGGGGGGGGGGCGGTGTGGAGAATATTAAGGACTCATTAGCACAATTTTTTTCAATAAATAGTAATAAAAAGCATTCCACAATTAAGTTCAGCTGACTGCATTGATAAGTAGTACATAAATAACTGAAGGATTTCAAAAATAAACAGAAAGCCTGAAGAATGTTTTGTTTAACGTGGCACAGTTATGTTTGTTACAGGGTCTTAGTTCAAAATTATGAAAATTGTATGTGAAAACATTTCAAATTTCAAATTTTCCCAGTACATTTCATAATAGTTATTAATTGGTAGAATAATAAACCTCTTTCCTAATTTTTATATGCTCAAATTGCTCTTTCCCCAACTCAGAGGAGCTTAATATACTCAATCTAGTACCAAGATTGACCGGTCTGCAACAATAAAGATATAACTTACGCAACTGAAACGTTTGTCCTTCAACATCCTATTTCCACCATGCTTCTACAGTTTAAAATTTTCTATTCTAAGTATAGTCCTTTACCGGAACCAATTTCTATGGGGTTTTAAAAAATGCACACAACATGTGAATGAGGTCTGAGGACAGCACAAGCAAGCTTTTTTCCTTGAGGGAGGGGGGTCCACTGTTTTAATTAAATGTCAGTTCTAAAAGCGTTTCTTAGAAGACGATATACACCCACTCTTCAAAGTGACCACTCCTATTCCCATCACAAAACGCTTCTTGCTAAAAGCCACCAAATTTATTTCAAAGTATTTACTTATCTAAACAACTCTATCGTCCAGTAAGAAAAGGGCATGGAAGCGTCTAGGTGGTTTTGCAGAATGACGTGTATTTGATTGGCAGATGTCTACCGAAGTCACTAGATGCACACGCACTAAATGTAAATAGAGTTGCTCGTCTCTCTGATGTTACAGGGAAACAGAAGCTAACGCTGGTGTAAAATAAAATATCAGAATGCTCGGCCGAGAATTCCATTAGCCAGTGGAATTATTCAAAACTATCCATACAGAACGACACTTAAGCCATCTACACAGTTAAATTAGAGGGCTGACAATACTAACTACACAAACTGTTTATCCACATCACACATTCCGTTGTATTAATACTCTTTAACTCAACACAGTCAGGTTTTATCAGCTGAAATAAGACTATTACTATTAAAGTATGCAAAACTCGAAGCGCAGGGTGAAGGGGGTTGGGAAGCTGCAGGGCATATAACAAAGGAATTGGTACTTTTTCCAAGCATTTGCCTCAAATGCACTGCGAAACAAAACTGTTGAGTGCACCCCACCCTTTTCCCCCAAAGATAAAAGTTTTCAAAGTTCTTGCAGACAGCTCTCTACCCAACAAAAGCAGGATTGATTCTCCCCGTAGGGGAGCATCTAACGTGAACACCAACTAATGTCGCGGAGATCAAGTCCGAACCCTCAGAGTGAGCTTCTAAGGCAAGAAGTGGCTCCCAGGCCGGCTCTGCGGGTTCCTGGCCCAGGTGGACGTGCAAAGTTGCCCCTTGTCAACTCCGGCCAGGTCCCCCGTAATTGAAAATAACAGCCACCGGCCAGCCCCTGGCTACTTGCATGGACCAGGCACTGTAGCAAGTGACAGTTACACATCATTACGACCAGAGACAATAATGAATGTAGCACCAGGAGCACTATTCATGCCAGCAGTGTCATCTCCGCCTTAACCCCTTCCCCTCCACTCTCTCCAGTGCGCACACACAGCCCACACGGCCCCGGTGCGGAGCTATTCATCCACCCTGCTCGAGGTCGGGGGGCCAACTACTTCCACAAGCCCCCCTCCCCCCCAAGTTCAGCCCTGGGGTTTTATTTCTCATCCTTGGCAACTGTCAGGCAAACACTGCAACCAACAATTCCACTAGGGGTAGAAAAACATTTGCTTAATTCACGTTACTTGATAACTTCTTCTGAAAAAAAAAATTAGGGGAGGGGGAAAGAAACCTCCTCCTTTCTTCTCCACGAATCCGACCGACGCTACTTGCTTTGCAACAGCATCGCCCTTCCCCGGCCCCCTCCCGCTTCCCAGCACTTTCCCCCTTTAAGAACACAGACCAACCAAAATGATTTAACTTGAGCAGATGACAGAAGGAAAATAAAACACGTTAAGAGAATACGGTCTGATTTGGGATGGCAAAAAAAAAAAAAAGAGGGGGTTGTTTATTTTGATAAGAAACGGAATCGGCACAGACCTGAACAGAAGCTGCAGAGCAGGAGAAATTGTTTTCTTTCCCTCACACAGAGTCCCCCTCTCTCTCCCTTTCTCTCTCTCACACGCGCGCGCGCGCACACACACACACTCACTCGCACACACACGGCGTCACCCGCGCACACGCACACGCAGAGCCTCTCAGCGGCTCTCTGCAGTTCTCAGGAAATGAATGGGGGGCAACCCGGGGAACTGTTGTACTTGCAAATGACTTACCCGGATCACATGATGCGCTAAATGTAGGGTGGGCCGGTGGGTGGAGGCTGCCGAGACGCGAGCCCCGGTCTAGTGTGGGGAGCCTCGCCAGGCCCGCATCGAATTACCCCGGGGCCCAGCCGAGGGGGTTGCAGGACGCCGCTTCTCCTCCCTCGCAGCCCGCAGCTCAGGAAACCGGAGAGGCGCTTGGGGTGGGGTGGGGTGGGGTGAGGTGAGGGGGGGCCGAAAACAAGAAACCCCCAAACAAAAGAGCTCCGGGTCCTCCTCCCCAGAAACAAAGCCCCGCCGC